TCCCCTCCCCCCATGCTCCCAATTTGTGCGTGAGACCATTCCTCTTCTCTGGGGGACCATGTATGTCTCTCTTAAGGTCCTCCTTGATTCCTAGCTTTTCTGGCAGTGTGGATTGTAGGCTGGTGATCTTTTGCTCTGTGTCTAAAATCCATACACGAGTAAGCACATACCATGTTTGTCTTTTTGTGACTGGGTTACCTCACTCACAATGGTTTCTTCTAGTTCCATCCATTTGCCTGAGAATTTCAAAATTCCATCCCCCCCCCCCCCCCCGCTGTATAAATGTACCTGATTTTCTCCATCCATTCTTCAGTTGAGGGGCATTTAGGTTGCTTCCAGTTTCTGGCTATCACAAATAATGCTGCTGTGAACATAGTTGAACAGAAGTCCTTGTTGTGTGAATGTGCATCTTTTGAGTATATGCCTAAGAGGGGGATTGCTGGATCTTGTGGTAGACTGATTCCCATTTTTCTGTAGGAATTGCCACACTGATTTCCACAGTGGCTGTATGAGTTTGCACTCCCACCAACAGTGGAGGAATGTTCCCCTATCTCCACATCCTCTCCAGCATAAACTGCCATTGGTGTTTTTGATTTTAGACATTTTGACAGGAGTAAGATGGTATCTCAGAGTTGTTTTGATTTGCATTTCCCTGATGGTCAAGGATGTTGAGCACTTTCATAAGTGTCTTTCAGCCATTTTAGATTCCTCTTTTGAGAATTATCGATTTAGTTCTGTACTCCATGTTTTAATTGGATTACTTGGCGTTTTGGTAACTAGTAGCTTCTTGAATTCTTTGTATATTTTGGAAATCAGCCCTCTGTCAGATGTGGGGTTGGTGAATATCTTTTCCCATTCTGTGGGCTGCCGCTTGTCTTGTTGACTGTGTCCTTTGCCACAGAAGCTTTTCGATTTCAGGAGGTCCCCTTTATTAATTGTTGATCTCAGTGTCTGTGCTACTGGTGTTTTGTTTGGGAAGATAGATCCATATCTATCGCCATGTACAAAACTGAAGTCCAAATGGATCAAAGACCTCAACATAAATCCAGCCACAGTACACTTTCTTATAATATACCCCATAACTACCTGCCCAGGCATAGCACCACTCACAATGCTTTGGACCCTCCACATTAATCTCTAATTAAGAAAATGCCCACAGGCTTGCCTACTGGTTAATCTGGTGGGGGCATTTTCTCAATTGGGTTCCCTTTTCTCATATGACTCTAGCTCGTGTCAGGTTGGCATAAAACTAACCAGCACAGCTACATACCCAGGCATGCTGCGCTATTTCTTGGTGGAAGGATTAGAAGTTACTTTTAAAGAATTGATTATTATATTATTAATTTGTTTGAGGCAGGGTTTTGTTGTATAACCTTGGCTGTCCTGGAACTTCCTTTGTAGACCAGGTTGGCCTTGAACCTTGAACTCACAGAGATTCATCTGCCTCTGTTTCCTGAGTGCTGTGATTAAAGGCATGCTCCACCACAACCTGGCTCTTGATCACACATTTTAAGAGTTTTCTTCAATGGCTTTCTGTCTAGGCTGTTTGCTTTTCTTTTTTCTTTTCTTCTTCTGCCTCATTTTCTATCAGTCAATCAATCAACAGTCTAACTACCTATCTACTTACCTGTCTGTTGTTGCATTTATGTGTGGTGGTAGGTAGTCATTTCCCTTCTTCCCACCATATGGATCCTGGGTATTGAACACATTAGGCTTGGCAGAAAGAGTTTCCATTAGTTGCTTAATTTTTTGAATACACAATACGTATTTTAGTGATCTGATTACTGGATAACTTCTGAAATCTTAAAATCACAAGTATATTTTACTCAAAATTAAGGTAGTTTTATTTTCTAACTGTTGGAAGGATGGAAGGCTTATTGTGATGTGAGGCTTACTGTGAAAATCAGTGACTCAGCAATTACAATTTTTCTCTTAATTGAAGAGTATCATTTTTAAACATTTATTTATTTTGTGTGTGTACCTGTGTACATGCTTGAATGCATACCCCATGACACAGGCAAAGGTCAGAAGACAATTTACAGAAGTTAGTTCTCTTTCCACCATGTCGGTTCTGGAGGCTCAGACTCTGGGCAAGGTCATAAGAGCCTTGACCTGCTGAGCAATCTCATCACCTCCCTCAGTTTTCTTTTTGATAGTTTAAAAGTACAGTTGAAATAAGATACCAAGTGAGAACCACATCTCTCACCCCTGCCCCCATCTGCCCAGTCCCTCGCAATGTGTAGCTTACTGTCTTGGTTACATTGCTCTGTGTTGAGACTAATACATGGCAGGAAATAATGTTAAGGGAAGGAGGGTATATGTTGCTTTACAGTTTGAGGGGGTACATTCCATTGTGTCAGGAAGGCATGAAAGAGTGAGAAGAAGGTATGGACATATGAGCAGAAGGCATCTAGTCACATTGCTTTCTTAGGAAGCAGAGAGATTTAATTTCTAGTGTGTACATAAGGTTTTTGTTTTGTTTTGTTTGAGATGAGGTTTTGCTGTGTAGCTCTTGTTGACCTCACCTCTAGATTCCCCCCCCCCCCAACATTAGGCTTCTAACTGCTGGGATTTAAGTTATGTACCACCAGCTGAGATTCTATATTTTAGCACATATCCAAGCAGAATTGAATATATTTCCTCCACTCCCCCACCAAGTCATAAAACCCTATTCATTTTGTGCTGGTGCCATGTAGCCACCCATGCTGTATGTTGCTAACAGATTGTTATACAAACTTGGGCTTCCATGGTAAAGACAATTGCCACTAAATTCCCCGGAAATGAGCTTGTCCTTGTCTAGCCTGTGTCCTCCTATCCATTCTCTAGCGGCTCAGACTAGGTAGGTGTGGGGTCCACTGGTCACCTCAGGGCTACTAGGGTTATGACTGCAACTATCTTGATGGCCATACCTAGCTTACACATGTGTGTGTGTGTGTGTGTGTGCATTCACAGACACAATTGTGGAGGTCAGAAGACAACCCTGACTGTTCTGCAGCTTTTGTTCACTTTTTTTTTTTTTTGTTGACACAGGGTCTCTTATTAGCTTGGAACTTACCAAGTATTCTAGTCTGGCTGGTGAGTCTAGAGATCTATCCCTCTGCCTCCCCAGCAGTAGGATTACAAGTGTGTCCCTAAATCTGCTTCTTTCATTTTTCTTTTTTAAACTTGAGTTCTGGGGATAAAACTCCAGTCCTTGTGCTTGCAGAGCAAGCTCTCCACCGATGGAACTATCTGAGCCCCCAAAGTTACATTTTCAAATTCATTGAGTTAACTCTTCACTGGAGTCAAGGGCCATGCTTTGAAGGCTGGCCTCCAACTCACAAAGATCCATCTGTCTCTGGGATTAAAGGTATGTGCCACCACTGTCTGGCAGTAACATATACTCTTAACCACTGAGCCATCTCTTTAGCCTCTCCGAGATTTTATTATTTTTTTGAGACAGGGTTCTAACTTATAGCTCTAGATAGCCCAGGACTTGCTATGTAGACAAAGCTGACTTCAGACCCACAGAGAGATCCACCTACTTCTGCATCAAGTGCTGGAATTAAAGTCATGTGCCATCATATTTGTCATTCACCCTGCTCACTATGTGAGCACTAAGGCTTTTCAGGCTATTCATACCTCACAGAGAAATCGAGATAACCTCTTAAGTGAGATCTGAAAGGGAAGCCTTTATAGTTATAATGAACTTAAAAACTGGGAGAACTCACCAAGTTCTCCAGCTTTGTCACTGAAAAAGGACTTTCTTTAAGGGCCACAGGTCATCCCTCCTCCTCACATCTCAAATGACTCCAGGACAATCAGAAAGCAGCTCATCTGCATCTGATTACCTCTTTGGAAAGAAAGCAAGGAGAGAGATGTCAGAGCAGCTTGCCAGCAAGCCAGTTTCAGAGCTGGATTAGTCAGCCTTTGTTGGAAGGATGAGTACCCACAGCAAGGAAGGAACCTCAGGTAGAAAAGAGGCCTATTTAGCTTCCTGTTTTTTAAGGTAGACTATCCAAACAGAGCTCTGGCTCTGTGGAGACCTCCAAGGTGGGTGGTAGGAGCATCTGACCAAGAAGGAGGACAAGATAGAAGGCTGGTGTTGGCTTACTCTCTTTAAAACAGTCCTCTTCTGTCACCCACAGGCAAGGTATGAAGGTGGTGCATGTATGTATAGGCAAATACACAAAATAAAATTTTAAAAAAATCTTAAAAAAAACATAACCACAACAAAACTTTTTGTGAGACAGTGTCTTTTGTAGCCCATGCTAACCTTAAACTCTATGTAACTGGATATGATAATGAACTCAATCCTTTTGCCTCCACTACTCAAGTGCTAAAATTACAAGCATGAGCCACCATACTTGGAATATATATTTTAAAATGTTTTCTTTTAAAATAAAAATGCTGAGCATGGTTATGCACACCTTTAATCCCAGCACTTGGGAGGCATAAAGCAGGCAGATCTCTGTGAGTTCGAGGCTAGCTTTGCCTACAGAGTCCCAGGATAGCAAGAACTGCACAGAGAAAACCCTGTCTCAAAAACCCAAAACCAAAAAATGAATTTTTATTCATTGACAGTTGTATACATGTATATGGTAATTTTTAGTCCTTTTGTACCCCCATTAATCTGTCTCTCCCAATTCCTTCTCCCACTGAAACTCATCGTCTTTCTGATGTCCCCTTCTAATTTCAAGTCTTATTTTGGTGTGTATGACCTATGAAGTTTAAATAGGGTTTAATTTCAAAGGTAGGTGAATCAGTCAACAACAAGATGCTCAGGAAAGAAAACGTACTTAGCACCAAATCTGATAACCAGATTTGATCTCCCAGTCACACATGGTAGGAGAGAATCAACTCTCCATGTTATTCTCTAACCCCCACACATGTACTTTGACCTGCTGATGCATGCATTTTGTCATATGTACATGTGTGTAATAACAACACACTAGATAAATATAAAACAAATAAAAAATTCAGGAAAAGGTCACTCTAAAATCTAAGTAATCCAGAGTCAGTACTTGACAAGTGAGACATGTCTCAAAATTTATTTTATTAACAGTATCTTGATCTCACAGCTAGATATTTATGATTGCAAAGGGTTTCATCAGTAGGTGGTGATGGGGTTCCTTAATGGCTTCTTCATTGTGATATCTTCTTGAACAATGCTTGGAATTCTTCGAAACTAACTTCTCCATCGCCGTTCTTATCCAGCTCTTCAAAGAGGTTGTCTAGAGTACTTGAACCCTGGTTTTAGGCAAAAAAGAATGGGATAGGGGAAGGAAGAAAATTTAGATAGGATACTGCAACACATATCTGAAATTAGAGGAACTGGATTTTCCTTCTAAGAAGGCAGCCTAGGTTTCAAGTCACATGCCATTGACACTATATACTATCATTTAATAGTAATAGCCTGCATTTGATGTATTTTATAAGATTTAAACTTTTTTGTTTGGTTTTGAGGCAGGATTTCTCTATGTAGCCCTGGCTGTCCTGGAAGCGATCTTAAATTCTTTATACCTCTAAAAACATTCTTCAGATTGGACCTGGTAGCTCAAGCCTGTAATCCCAACTACTTAAAAAGCTAAAGTTGGGGGGTTGCATTGAGTTTGAGGTTACCTTGGACTGCACAATGAGTTTTATAGCTCAGCTTGGACTACATAGACCTTGTTTCAAAAATGATGAAATTCTGACAGTTTATCATGTAACCATTTAAAAAAAAGATTCATTTATTTTTAAAGATTTAAAGAAAGTTTTATGAGCATGGGTTTTGTCTGCATGTGTGTATATGTGCCATGTGTGTTTGGTACCCACAGAAGCAAGAAGAGGGCATTGGATCCCCTGAAACCAGAGTTACAGATGGTGTGAGCCGCCATGTACCTACTTAGAACCAAACCTGGGTTCTCTGAAAGAGTAGTAAATGCTCCTAACTGCTGAGCCATCTTTTCAGTCCCTCATCTAGCCATTTTTATGTGGGCAGTTCAGTAGTGTTAGGTATATATGCTTTACTGTGCACAAATCTCCACATGCATGTGTGAGGTGTTGGGTTCAAGTCTCAGCAATACATACACAAAGTTATTGTGAACTATTATAAGAAAATTAAGAAATACCAGATTATAATGTTAGTGTTTTCAGCTTTGTGTGTCTGTGTGTGTGTGTGTGTGTTTGTGTGTGTGTGTGTGTGTGTGTGTGTGTATGTATGTATGTATGTATGTATGTATGTATGTATGTGTTCTAAAAACAAAAGTCACATGGATTTCGGCTGTATATCAGTGGTAGAGTGCCTGTTTAGTTTTTGCTAGGCCCTGGGTTGTATGTGGCCATATCCCCATAGGGCCGTGGTCAGTATTTCAGAGGCAGCCATCAGCCCTAGGTCCTCAGTTATGCCCTCCTGCCAGCATGAGGCAGCAGCCTGTGGCTGCTCCAGTGTGCACTCACCTTCAGGAGACTGGGGAATTCCGCCTGAATCAGCAGCTTCAGCTCCTCCTTTGACAGCTGGTTTGGATCGCCTTCTTTGGCTGCATATTTTTGAAAAATGCTCTTCATTTCTTCGGGAGACTTCTTAGTACTCATTCTGTTGTCCTATAAACTGGAAAGAAAACAGATTTACCAAAAAGCAGAAATGGAGCTTTCATGCCAAGTGTTGCTAGCAGGGGTTTAATCCCCCTCCTTATTGGGAAAGGCAAAGGGAAAAAAAGGATAAGGGAGAAGAGAGGTAGATGGGAATAGCATTATTGGTTCTTATGCATTTTAAAAATAATCAAATTAGGGGCTAGGGAACATAGCTGTTCCACCCGCACCCAGCACCCTAGAAAGCTAGTGGCCATGACCACACTGAGCTGCTTACCGGGCAGTGCGAGCACTGGAGGAGTCAGACAGCAACAGGTGATAAGCGGATGAAGAACCAAGGAGGAGCTCTCTTATATTCTTTACAGGCACACCACCTGATTATGAAATTCCCCATTGTTTACTATTTAAGGGTAATGATTAATGGTTTCTGAAACCAAGCTTAAGACTCTCAATTAAGGGCAACCTCCGGTAAAGAGCTGTGTCAACAGTTGCTTAATGGTTCAGGGTCCCAAGAGTAAGACCTGGATTTTCTTTTCCTTAGAATAATTTTCCATCCAATAGGGCATTTTGATCTTTCTCACAGCTCACATTTCTGAAAGCAATGGGATTGGAGATTTAGGCTTGATTTTTTTTTTCTTTCTTTCTTTCTTTCTTTTTTTTTTTTTTGATTTTTTTTTCTATGCAGAAAAAATATTCTGTCACAGAGGGACAGTATTACACAGTTTTTAAAAGTACAGAATTGGGCCAGGCAGTGGTGGCACATGCCTTTAATTGCAGCACTCAGGAGGCAGAGGCAGAGGCAGATAGATCTCTGTGAAGCCAGCCTGGTCTACAGCGCTATTTCCAGGACAGCTAGAACTACATAGAAATACCCCATCCCCATCCCTGAAAAACCCAAAAGGGAAGATAGATAAAAATTTCTGACTTGGCAAAGTAAGATTTTTGAGTAACATTCCACTTTTTATCTTTTTGATTATTGTTCCTTTTTTTAAATTTCTTTATACTTACAATCCTCCTTCTTTCCCTCCTTCTTTCCTCCCCCCTCTCTCTCCTGGCTGCCCTGGAGCTTGCTATAGAGACCAAGCTAGCCTTGAACTCATAGAGATCTGTCTCCTGCCTCCCATGTTGGTATTAACAGTGTATGCCACCATGCCTGGCTATATTTCTCCTGTTTATAACAAAATATATTTTGCTAAATCTTTCTAAAACTTATGAAAGCACTCAATTTGCACTTAAACAATTAGAACTATTTTGGAATTTATGGAATAGCCAGGATTTGAAATTAGATATGAAATTGATTTTTCTTTTTCTGGAAAGAGGTCCGTGAAATAACTAGGATATTTCTTGGGGACATTACTCTAATGCATATTATAAGTCACAGGTAGGGGTTCCAGATTGACGTCAAAAGCCCTTCAACAGCATTTAAACACAGAAAGTTTCTGTGATCTGCAGTAAGTATATTACTTTGCCCAGATGTTTTTCAACTCTAAAACTCTAGGACCTTACTTACATTGGAGAAAAACAAACAAACAAACAAAAAACATACAAAACAAAAACAACAACAACAAAGCTATGGTGTTGCTTACACAATTTTGGTCAATCCTGAGCATTTATCATTCTATAGGTTTTGGGTGTTTTATTGCAGTTTATCTAACTCCAGTACAGACTTAAGTATTAACCCACTCATTGGAGTTACTGGCCTTGTAGGTTAGCTTGTCAGAAGGTAGGTAGGCAGGTCTATCTATTGTGTGTGTGTGTGTGTGTGAGAGAGAGAGAGAGAGTGTGTAGTGTATACAAGTGTACACATGTGTATACAGTTGTGTGGGGTGTCAGGTGTCCTGCTCTATCAGTCTTCCACCTTATTCCCTTGAGTGAGTTAGAGTCTCTCACAGAACCTGAGCTTGGTTGGTAGCCAGCAAGCCCAGTGAAGCCCTTATCTGCTTCCCACCCCAGTAGTGCTGGGGTTACAAGCACACACACAGTCAGGCCTGACTATTACTTGGGTGTTGAGATCCAAACTCAGATCTTTATACTTATGCACAAGTGCTCTTAACGCACTAAGTTCTATCTCCAAACTCTTTTTTTTTTTTTTTTTTTTTTTTTTTTTTTGAGGCAGGCCTCTCATGAGGCCCAGTCTGGCTAAGGATAACTTTGAATTCCTGGTCCTTCTGCCTCTACCTCAGCTGTTTTGGAATTGCAGGTGTGGGTTACCGTGTCCAGCTGGCATTGTTTTTAGTTGATGATTTTACACAATAATATTCTGATTTTTTCAGTTTTTTTTAAAGGTTTTAGAAAGTTTCCAATGTTTTTGTTTGCTTGTTTTACACATAAGTTCTAGTTTCCTGGGAGGAAGTGAGCTCCTGTGACTAATTGAAGTAAGAACTACAGTTTTTTCTCCAACATCTTTTTTTTTTTTTTTTTTTTTTTTTGCTGTTGGTTTTTGAGACGGTATCTTTTTGTTTAGCCCAACTCACAATGTAGTTCAGGCTACCCTTGAACTCCTTCCTGGTCCTCCTAGCTGGGTCCTCCTGATTGATTGCCTCACTCCAACATCTTTAAGGTTTTTGTTTGTTTTGTTTTGTTTTACATCTAAAGCAAAATGGCAAGAATAATACAGAAGTGTACCTTTTGATTAAACTCTACCTGTTACAATTTCCACACCCATCTACCCCTTTTCTGGGCCAGTACTTTCCTCCTCATCAATTATTTGTGAATAAGTTGCAGAGCCTCATTGGTTTCCTGCAAACACCTCATCTTGTGTCTCTGAAGGACAAGGACTTTTTTCTATAGAACCTCAGTGATGTTGTTCCAGCATATTTCAATTTCCTCAATTGTTTTCTCAAATCATCATTTTGGAGCTAAAACTGATGGGAGTTGGTGTCATATTTCTTGTGCCTATATATTGAAAAAAATGATTTTAATTACTATATATGTGATCTAAATGTTAATAGATCATATGACAGATGTTTTATATAACACACTCCATATCATGTGGCATATATGATGTGTAAATATAACAAGCACATACTACATGAATTCTGAGGATCGGAGTTAAAATAGTGTAGGCCCAGTCTTGTTTCTGCAGTGCTGTGGATGGATCCCAGGGCTTCATGCGTGCTAAGAAAGCACTCTATTAGTAGAGCTACAGCCCCAGCCCAAAGGCATGTTTTTCTTCAGGCATCTCATGCTATTGAGCTTGAGTAGAATAGCATGATCACATATGCCTCAGGTGCCCAGAGTCTTCCTGAGGGGATAAAAAAAAAAAAAAAGTAAGTCTGTCCAAAGATCAAGCAATTGAACACAGAGGTGCTACTTAACCTTTGCCTCTCAGTTTTTCCATTACCAACCTTGTACCTGTCATTCTTTCCTTTTCTCTTATTTCAAAACACGGTCTTTTGAACACACCCTGCATTTATGGCATGTTTCCATACATTGTTAGTTAATGTTTCATGAGGCGATTAGTGGATTTTGTGTTTCTAGCTGCTGGGTTACCCTTGTGCTAAGATAAAGGTAAATACCACTGGAGGAGATGAGCATGCAAAAGTATGAGAAGTAGCACAGGGTGTTTTTCAGGTTTTATTAGCATTTGCTACAAGCGTGCGTTCTGACAGGCAGCATTGGGCCACTTTAATCAGAGATCTTCCCGTGAAATGAACGATGTGTAGCTTAAGTGACTTTTGGCCTACATGGTACACACCTATAATCCTAGCACTTTGGAGGTGGAGGAAGGGGAATCAGAAGTTTAAGGTCCTCCTCTGCTACATATAGGGAGTTTGAGGCCAACCTGGGCTACATGAGACCTTACCTTTAAAAGAATCCTTTTGTATTACTAATTGTATGTTACTAATGACTGAGTCCCCCACAAAATAAGGTGGATGTAAAATGCTATTGTATGTTTTCTTTGACTTTGAAATTTAAGTGCCCTGAACTCATCTTCCTTTCTAAGGAGCTACATTTTTATTATTTAAAAGGGTAACTTAATTTTAGTTGTCCCTAGAAGTAACAGTGTTCTGTCCCTTACTTGGTCTTTATCTGGTGCCTGCTCTCCCTGGACTATCCGAGTTCATTTTCTTTTCTACTCCCAGCCTTTGCCTAGAGTGTGCAACTCCTGCCTGTGCTAGTCTTCAGTTCTGAGTTCCTAGAGGCCTCTGCATATGAGTCAATGCTTACTGAGGGCTTTTGTTTAATTTTTATACTATGGACACTCAACTTCTACAGCCTCCTGAAATCATTGTAGCAACACTATGAAATGGATACTGTTCCCTTTGGTCTATATATATATAGTTGTACAAAAAGGATAGCATTGGATTCCTGTTGTTGCTTTAATAAGTTCTTACCAACAGAGTATCTGGGAACACCACAAATTTGCTCCCTTTTGTACTTGTAGGTCAGCAGTTGAAAGTGGTTTGACCGGATGTGTTCCTTCTGAAGTTACAGGAGAGACTGCTTAGTTTTTCACCTTTGAGAGGCTTCTTGTTCATGGATACACCCTCCATCCTAAAAGCCAGAAGCTTAGCATCATCCAGTCTGTCTGTAATATTTGCTTTGCTAGCATTTCAATGCTGATTCTGTTCTTCCTTCCTCTCTTAAGGTTCCACATTATTAAGTGGGTTCATTACCATAATCCAGAATAAGCATCTTTGCTAGGGGTGAATTCCTTAGAAATGGGGAGTACAGCCTGCCTCTCTTCTATCCATCCTATGTGATGTGATGCCTTCTGTCTTGTCATGGCAGAGCAAGAAAGCCCCCCTTCTACCTCCAGGAACTTAAACATATCTACATTTGTAAAGTCTTATGTCACAAAAGGTCCACAGGTTCTTAGGGTCTAAGAACTAGAATATGAACATCTTTGGAGGGGTATTGGAAATGAATTAACAATGTGTAGATGATGTGTTTGATAAGGAGAACATATTAAATATAGGGCAATAAGGAGAATTGGGGGGTGCCCCAAATCATGGGTTCTTGTGGTAAAGTAGGGAGAAGGCCTCTTTAGAAATGGCGAGATGGCACAGTGGTTCAGAGCACTGGATGCTCTTCCAGAGGACCTGGGTTCAATTCCCAGTACTCACCTGGCCTCTTGGATCCCCTGGAACTGAAGTTACAGACAGTTAGTTATAACACCTTCACACCAGTGTATGTAAAATAAAAAGTTAAATAAATTTAAAACATTTAAAAGTTAAACAAAACAAAAGAAATATAATGAAGGAGTGGTCTGTGTATGGAAGGGGGAGTGGAGGAACCATTGGCATTGGACTTGTCTAGCTGAGGTAGAAAGTACAGGTTTGAATCTATCAGGAGTCCAGCTTGTTATGGTCATGCATGAAGTGAGACTCGAGGCCCACTCAGGAGGGTTCTGCTTTGATTTGCAGTGACATAGAATGCTGGAGCAA